TTGGCTTTTGAGACAGTTCCTCCTTATAGCCCAGGCTGGCCTCACACTGGCTGTATAGGTGACGCTGGCCTTGAACTTGTGGCCGTCCTGCTTCTAACTCCCAAGTGGTCCCTGGCGCCCTCATAAGTTAAATAATGACATGCTCGTTTTCCATTCTTTTTCTGGTTTTTATTCTCCTGGACACCCAGAAAGTAAATGTACTGAGACACAGAAGGGATGTATGTGATGGTGTCTCCTTAGGAAATAAACAAGATTTATTCCTGTTCTCTGTTTGCTTTAGCAGTGAAAGGACGATGGATCTGGTCCTGGAAATGTGCAATACCAATTCTATCCACTGGTGTGGGATTTCAGGACGACAGCTGGGAAAGCTGCATCCTAGCTCCTCGCTCTGCCTGGCCCTGACTCTCCTGTCTTCAGTGCAGGGGCTCCAAGTACGTTCTCTTTTTGGTAATCAGCAGGATGGGCTGAATTATCGTTTCTGATAGCAGTATTTTCTCTGGTAATTATCAATGAGTGAAAACTGAAATGTTCCCCCTTTCTCTCTCTTAGAGCGTCTCTGGCTTAAGACTCACTGACACATTCTTAAAGAGAACTTACGAGTATGATGACATTGCACAAGTCTGCGTGGTCTCATCAGCCGTGGAGGTGGAAGCCTAAAGAAAGTTCCTAATGTTAAATTTCTTCTTTAATCACAGAACTGCTCTCTGTATTTTGTCAGCTTTGTGAAATTATCATTAGCAAAAATAAGTCTATGTTATTTAAATTTGTTTTCTGTAAAACAGTTAAATATTAAATATTTGTTGTAAGAACACTAGTTTTATCTTGTGAATTATATTCTGAATGAACAGAACATTTTCATATTTTCTACACATATTTCATGTCCTTTAAGATAACTGGCACCTTTTGTTTTCAACAAGCTTGATTTTTGAGGCTTTTTGTCTATCAAGTATCTTTTTATAAAAAGCAGACCTTTTTGTAAAGGGCCATGTATTCACATGTCTTGGGCTCTGGAGACAGATGAGTTCTGCCATCTGAGTACAGTACTTTGGAATTTCCATAACACTTTGTATAGAAACTTAGTTAAATTCATCATAGTCAGCTATAGTCTCTTTCCTAGGTTCTTAGCTGACAGAAAAGCCTCTTCTGAAACAATTCAGGTCCCCTTCCTGTAACTCAATTATTTCTTAATACAGGATAAACATTTTTAGTTGTTTTCAAAATCATTGTATGGTAAATATTCATGTTTTCCTGTTTGTTTGTTTGTTTGTTTGTTTGTTTGAGACAGTGTTTCTCTATGTAGCCCTGGCTGTCCTGAACTCTATTTGTAGACCAGGCTAGCCTCAAACTCACGGAGATCCGCCTGCCTCTGCCTCCTGAGTGCTGGGATTAAAGGTGGGTGCCACCACTGCCCAACTAGAATTATTTTCTTAATACGCATTTAAATGATTCCCAACTTCATATCTGATTTATAAAAGTTTTGTCTGTCCATATGATCATACCCATTTGTGTCAGGAACAAATCAGCAAAATAAAATTAAAAAAAAAAAATTAAGGCTTTAAACAGCTTTGCAATAGGAATATAACAAAAAGTTTCCCAATTAGTCAGAAAAACAAAAGTCCATGCTGTTAAATAAGCCTTATCCTATTTGACAAGTTAAATTCCCCAGTATATAACTGCTTACATATTGAGAATGCATTAAGTCAGACACAAAACCTTTTCTCTTAAATGCATAATTATTTATTGCCATGACAAATTATTTGGTCCAGAAATGAAAGGTATATTCAGAAGGCTTGACCCTCACATTAGTCATGATTGATGAATATCTATGCAAAACAAAATGCAAGCACTGAGAACTGAAGTCGGTTCCTTGGGATGACACAGACTGGTCCAATCAGTCTTCATTAGCATTATCTCCAGCATCCTCTCATGACTGAACCATGCCTTCTTCCATTCAGAATTTAAAAGTTACTCTGCTATATACTTTTAATTACAAAGTCTCTTCTGTATATAAACAACATAGGTACTTACTATTCGTACTCTAAATAAAAGTCAGATAAATGCCATCTTATAAAGGATCTGTGTCAACTATTATAAAAATTAGAATGATGATTTGGTTCAGTAAATGAAATTCCATTTCCATAAAAAGGGCTTGTTCAGTTTTGCATAGCACGGTACCAGTTTCAGCTACTCCAATGAAATGGGGTCATGGAAGCCAGGCATTCCTGATTAGAATGTGTGTAAGTACTCAGTGCTGTCCTGTTTCTCTTAGCAAGTGTATTTTCCAGACAAGGGGAAGAATACTTGGGGAAGTGTCTTAGAATTTTAAGACAGCTAGCACAATCAAGCCACACACACAATCCTCAAAATAGCTTGCGGTATGGTAATTCCAATGTGATGGAGAGACCTGACAAGTAAAAAGTGTCCTGAATAGAAGGAAACTCCATGGAAGTGGGAAGCGACATCTGGCAGTGTATTCGTTCCCAAAGAAACAAACTAAAAAAGTGAAATGGAAGATACACACCAGTTCTTTTATTTTGTGCAAAAAGAAGAGCTACTAAGGGTATTAGCACAGGAAGTCAGTGTTGGACAGCCACTGATGAGAAGTGATTATTCTCACCGGGATATTACTGGTCAAGTGAGCTGGGAACTAGCTCTTCCTCTTCTGTTTTCTGAGAGGGGATATTATTCTCCCTAAGACTTTAATAGAGTTGACCACTGAAATCACCGAGCCTATAGGGGTTTTGCTTTGCTTGTCCTGGAGGGTACTAAATTTCTTAACAGACTGGCCTATTCAGGTTATCTTCTTCACAAAAGCTCTTAATTACAAAAACCCAGGGCAAGTCAGTGTTTTCTAATTGTTCTTTTTGTAGTCGTTTGGGTTGTTTTGTTTCCTATTGGGGTTTTTTTTGTTTGTTTGTTTGTTTGTGTTTTGGAAACATGGTCTTCTATAGCTCAGGCTAGCATCGCGCTCACTGTGTAGCCAAGAATGATGTTGAATTCCTGGTCCTGCCTCTACGTCTCAAGTGTTGGGATTAAAAGCGCACATTGCCATTCCAGTTCCATGCAGCACTAGGGAAGGAGTAACCCTGGCCGGCCTTCATGCTAGGCAAGCACTACCAACTGACTATGCTCCCCATCCCCTGGTTCCCCTTTTACCATCTACAGGGTCTGTTCAATAGTGTATCTGCTCTTTTTTCTATTTTTTTTTTTTCTTTTTTAATGCAGTGATGGAATTGAACCCATGGCCTCACACACTAGGTAAACACTCACTTTCATCTCTGATACTGTTAACTTGTATTTTCTGTTTCCTAGTCAACATACTAAGGATTCACCAGTTTTATTGAACTGAAAGCTTGTTCTAGGATTATTAACATTCAACACCGGTTGGCTGGTTTTAGTTGTCAACTATGAATTTCTTTGATTGTAGTCATAACCTCTATGTAGCCAGTGAGTACTTCACTCTGCGTAGAACACTCGATGCTGTGTAATGGCAAACACAACACAGTTCTACGTCAGGTTCTCCTGTTCTCTACCGGAACTGTGTTTCCTGCCCATCCCAGGAGAGGCCGAGCCCAAGTGCTTGTTGTCTACTTGAGGAGAGACCCCCCCCCCCAACTTTATGTTGTTCTAAAGTGGAGTCCTAACTGCACTGTTTAAAATAGTGACCTACACCAAACTTGGTGATATGACTCTAAACCAGAAGTTTTAATTCATTTCCTGCACATGATGCTTACAGTGAAATTACAAAACCACTGTCTCACAAAAGGCAAAAAAAGAAAAGGTTTTGAAACCTCAAGACACTAAATGCACAGATTAAGAGGAGCTGTGGGAAGGCCCTTACCTCCTCGTTAATTTTAAATTATGTTTTTCACCTTTCCCTCATCACCTGTGAAATCATTACATACCAGCCCCCATTTAACCAATGTTTTGATTAATAGGCAAATTCCATGTAAAACAGGAATTTTCTCATCCATCAATGTACCTAGAGTCATGCCATTAGTATCTCATGCCATTTCTTTCTACTAACCATATGCCAGATGCATAAATATGATATTTGAAGTCTCATGTTTAAAATGCAGTAAATTAAAATTAAGCTTAAGACTGGCATGCCAAGCCAAACTACAGCAGAGCATTACACAAATGAGCAATGTGAGCAATAGATTCCTTTGTTATCCAGCAAATGATGGTAAAGTTAAAAAACGATCATCGTTTATGAGTGCATAATTAAATTCCACTTAGAAATCCCATAACTTGGGGTCAAGTCAGTGACTTTTTGTAAGTGTAACTGGACACACTGCCCTAGGTAAGTTCCCCACCAATGAAACTGATAATTGAGCTGAGATAACTAATAGAACGGTTGTGTTCATTGACCTGACCAGTACCGTTAAGGATCTCTAAGTGTGTTTCATTGTGTACTTAACTGGCCATGCGAATGCTATCAACACTACACCACAGACAAGATCAGTTAAAATTACACAGAAAACCTGAGCATCCTACAGTTGCTTTCTTTACATTCACAGTATCTTCAAAGCATCACCTGCACCCAACATCGCTTCCTGCCATCTGAAGACTCCATCACCAGTACGAGCTGCCCTAAGTGAGACAATACTGGTGCCCACAATAGACGTGTCACAGATGGAAGCACATACCAAAGTTTCTCTCCTGACATGCCGCCAAGCACATTTCTTTAGACCAGCATGATGAGAAGTCTTCCCACTTAGTGAGTCATCGCCCTCTCAAAACCGTGGCCAAGGGAAACCTGTAGCTAAAGAATGTTCCAATAAATAGCCCTACTGGTCAATAAATATACTCTGTACTGTCTGATATACAAATATGATGATAAAAGTTTTAAAATGGATGGGCCCTTGTCCCAAGGCTGTATTAGCACTTAACAAGGCTACTGATGGATTGTTTCCAAAGGAGTTGACATTATGTTCAAGTCTGCTTGTGATACACTATTTTCTAAACGGATGGATTCTCTCAGGTTTACACAAGAGACTTCCCTCCAATGTATTCTCAGACATTGTGTAGGGTGGTTTTTTTGTTACTCTGTTTTTGGCTATTGTCTACAGGTGGACATGTCAGAACCATAAACTATGTGTACTGGGGCAAATGTGCTGATCAAGTCAGGAGTGTTCTTCCGTGCTGCTGCTGAATGACCTGCTCCGGATGTGATTTCTCAGCTGCTCTATCAGTTCAGGGTTCTGTTGCTGTATCTGCTGAGCAAACTGCTGTCCCCTGCAGGAAAAAGGCAGAATAAACTGGTCGGGGAATTTCCAGCCACAGAATATGCATGCAAAATGAACTGCAGAAGCCGTGGGACCACCCAAGGGAACTTTTCCTATAAACACAAGTTTTAGAATCATAACACTACCAATCCCCCGCATAGTGTTACTACAGGGCTGTGTGTGTGTGTGTGTGTTCGCGCGTGCACACACACCTGTGTGTATGTCTCTCCGTGTGTGTGTGTGTGTGTGTGTGTGTGTGTGTGTGTGTGTGTGTGTGTGTAGGTGTGTGTGTGTGTGTGTGTGTGCACATAGTGTACAGGTGCACAACCCTAATCCAGAGGGGATGCCGGGTGCCTTCCTTATCACTTCCTGCCTTTCCTTGAACCTGGAACTTGCATTTTCTTGGGTAAGCCCCAAGCCATCAAACCCCAGTAGTCCTCCTGTCTCCGCCCCTTTGGCCCTGGAGTTAGAGGCGTTTGTGAGATGCCCAGATCCTTATGTGGGTGCTAAGATCAAAACTCCTGTTCTCTTTATTGTGTAACAAGTGCTCTTTACCTTTGAGCCACCTCTCTAGTCCAACAGAACCCTTTCCTGCATTCCTAAGGCTCTAGGTTCAAGCCCAGCACCTCAATAAACACTCGTACAGTTTTGAAACAGGATGGTAGTGCACATCCACAATTCCAGCAGTTGGGAGGGAGGAGCAAGAAGATCAAGGCCACACTCAACTACATAGTGACAAGAACAGCATAATCTATAAAAAAACCTGTGTCAAAAAATCAAGTTTAGACGGTTTTAAAAGCTGCCATGAGGTCCCTTGGGCCCCTCACTTTTATGAGTCCTGATGAAATGCCTATTCTTTTGTTTTTTGTCGCTTTCATTTGGATGCTGTTCAGAAACTGCACAAAATTGTTCTGGTACCCTGAAGGTCCCCTCCCTCCCCCCATGTTGCTGCCATGTGGCTGACCTCCATGCTGGCTTAACTAAAAGAACATGCATTTTGGGAGGGGGGAGTTATTTCTTTGGATGTTTGTTCTTATTTTCCCTTCTCGATTCTTCTCTGGACAGCTGCTGAGATGGATGGCTTGCCTGTCCTGGGGCCTTTCCTTTAAACGCTAACAAAATGGTCCTTGAGATTACAACAAAATGAGTTTATCACAAATTCTTGAGTCTGTGACTTCAGTTACATGTATTAAACATGACAATCATGCCACTTAAAGACCACTCTAAAAATTCGACATTCGAAGTGCTGAGTGAGTTTTAACTACAAATTAGAAGGTGGAGCTGTGGCTCCCTATAAACTTGGCAGTGGCAGTATCAAACCCATTCAAAATTCAGCGTCATGGGCAACCCTGACAGACGACAATGTGCTTGGGGGCGTGGAGCCAGTGAGAAAAGCCTGTTGAGGCTTGATGAGCGCCTGAGGGTTCCGAACATTACTATGTAATGCGGTTTTGAGATTCATTTTACTTATGTTTGTGATGCTGTGAATTAAAGCCAAATGAATGTTCTACCACTAAAGCAAGGGTGGTTTTCATCCAGGTATAGGGAGCCCATGTTTGTAATCCCAGCACACTAAGGAATGTCACCCTAAGGTGGAAGCCAGCCTGGGCTACATAGCAAGACTATGTCTCTACAATTCTAAATACGTATCTATACCTACTTAATACATGTTTTCAGTAGACATGTGACTACCACTTTAATCCCAGAATAGTTATTTAAGCTCACAAAATTTAAAAAAAAAAAGTCTTGGATCTTCATTGGTAAATGTGCTGGGTTAATTGCTTTACATATGAGACCACAATGCCTGTGCATCAGGATCCTTAGGGACCCTCCATAAGTGTTGATGATAGTACTGATATTCCCATGTAAGAAACAAAGGACCCTAATTCAATACCAAAAGCAACAAGCATTTAGCTGTCAATCAAAAAGACAGAACTGTGGTGGATGCTCTGAGCCCACAGGAAGTTATCACTTGTTCCTCAGCTCCTCTAGCTACCAATTATGGATGGAAACTAGCCCCATTTTTGTTTCTGTTTTGTTTATCTGTTTGCTTGCTTCCTGTGACAAGGTATCATTATATGAACCTGGCTGGTCTAGAACTCTGGATACTCACCTGCCTCTGCCTCCCCTGTGCTGGAATTAAAGGTGCATGACGCCACACCAGGGCTCTGCCTGCTTTTACTGCTAATAACTCTTTCTAAAGATCCGCTGGCACTTGACGGTCCCATGGAGAGAGAAAGGAGTCTGTGAACATGCACGATTTTCCCAAAAACAGATAGAGCTGGCCACACAGTCTGGGAGTCAGTCGAACATGACTCCTATTTTTCAACTTCTTAGAGTATTTAATACATTTAGTTAGGCAAGTCATGTTAACAGTAAGAGATTAAAATGAAAGCCTTGACCTCTTAGAAACAAACTGTATGGTTCTAGAACTAACCAACCATCTATGCTGGTTAGTGGTTGTCAATTTGACACAAACCTAAACATATCAAGGAAGGAGCATCAGCAGAAGGGCTGCCTCCATCCAACTGGCCTGCAGTGAAGTCTGCGGAACACTTTTCAGATTAATGATTAATATGTGAGGGTTGCACACTGGAGGCGGTGCCATCCCTGGATAGGTGGTCCCCCATTGTACAGGAAAGCAAGCTGGGAGAACCGCAGAGAGCAGGCCAAGGCAGTGTTCCTCCGTGGTCTCTGCCTCAGTCCCTGCCCTGGTTTCCCCTTCATGATGGACTATTAACTGTAAACTGAAATAACGCTTTTGCTCCTCAGCTCGCTTTTGGTCATCACCTTATCAGCCATATAGAAAGCAAACTAGGACAAACACTCACGCTTGGATAAGGCTAGACAGGTCTGTTAGGCCTCCAACTCCAGCAGCAGGTCCCCCAATGGCATTAGTCATCATTCCTGACATTCTAGGGTAATAAGAAACACATCATGGAGATTGGCATACATTTTTCCCGGGAATGAAGTCAGTCAACTCTATCAGCGCCATGGAAGGGATTAGATCAAATGGTTAAGTTGACCCCAAGTTCTAAGTGACTGGAATTCAGTGCATTTTTATCGATCATGAGATGACAGGCTCTAATTAGGAGCCTAGCAAAGAGAAGGTAAAGGCAGAAGGAGCCATTTATACTCACAGCTGTTGAACTTGAGGGTTCTGCATCAAACTTGCAGCCTATAATTAAAAATAGTATTGCCCGTTAAAATATGGCAGCAATGCTTAGAGATGTTACAACGGCTGTGCAGAGGTAAAGGAATGAAGCCTAATAATGCACATCCTAACTTTGGGTGGCATTTTAGTATGCTATACAAGTAAAATGGGGCAAGAGAGAAGGTATTGTAGAAACTGGTATCAAATAGGGATGTGAGATTACAGACAAAAAGAAAAACAAAATACAGGCCAGCAAATCCTCAAAATTCCATTTTAATCCATTTTCCTCCATTTCTATTACTTTTCTTTACTTTGACAGTACTGACGATTGAACCCAGTGCTTCTGAACACTAAGCATATGTCCCAACACTGAACTGTATTCTCTGCCCTGACTTTACTCATGTGTCCATGTATGTATGTATGTATGTATGTATGTATGTATGTATTAGAGCAGTGCTGGGTAGTCAAGCCTAGAACTCCAAGAATACTATTCCAGCACTCTGCCACTGAGGTCCATCCACATCCTCACCTTTTTTAAGAATCAAAAGATGTGCTTTTAACCCTCATTGTTTGCAACTCCTTCTACATGGTGTTGTCACACCTTATTTTGGTGTGTAGCAGGTTAGAGGCTAAATTTAATCTGAAACTAAATTCCATCTTCATATTCTATTACAGTACTATATCCTGAAAACATAACTTACTCATAACCTAGAAATGAGCAAGCCCGGTTTTAGAATATCACAAGACTTAAGAGGGGGCATGTGTTTGCCATCAAGTAGGTAAGAGGCCAACTGGATTGATAGAGGGCTGTGTCTTTTGGTTGAACTAAGAATTGGTGATTGCAAAACACATTTATTTGAGCAAAGATGAATAGGAATCGATTCCTATTCTGAGAGCACAGCACACGATGGAATGTTTGTGTTTTTGTTTTGAAACAGGGTCTCACCTAAGCTGGCCTCAAATCCTGTGTAGGTAAGGCTGATCTAAAGCTCTCCAACTTCCTTCCTCGAGCTTCCAATGCAGGGACTGCGGACATGCACTACCATGCTAGGCAGCAGAATGTTTTCATGCACAGTATGCAGTCATTCAAGATTACTATAGACCCAGGAAACATCCTACACCAACTAAGTACTGGACCGGATCATGATCGATTTCCAAAGATCCCTAAGGTATTTTGTTGATTTGAAGAACACAGGGCAAGTCCAGGGATGTTGCTTAGTTGCCTAGGATACGTGAAGTTCGGGGTTCAATCTCCAGCATTGCATAAACTGAATGTAATAGTGCGTGCCTATAATCTCAGCACTAAGGAGACAAAAAGATCAAAAGTTCAAGGTCACCTTCAGCTGCATACCAAGTTTGAGGCCAGCCTGAGCTACATAAGGGGCTGTTTTAAAAAACATAAATGTTGAGAGGCAAGCTTGGGTAATTGCCATAATCAAAATCCTCAGACACCAATTGATAGATCTATCTTCCTAGGACCAATTTTATATGACATTGGGGTTTTAAATCACTTTATTTATTTGTTTGTTTATTTATTTATATATAGGGTGTGTGTGTGTGTGTGTGTGTGTGTATGCACACACGTGTCACCATGCTTATGTGGAGGTCACCATGCTTATGTAGAGGTTGAACGGTACCCTGTGGGAGTCAGTTCTTCCCTTACACCATGGGATCTCAGAAACAGACCTCAGATCATCAGTTTATGCAACAAACGATGTTACCTTCAGGGCTGTATCACCAGCCTGAGACAGTGGCTTTTAACCTTTCATATACTCACAAATTGACAATCTAATGAAAAAAATATGAGTTTTGCCTTATAAAGTATACATAGTCACACAAACATTGACTTTTCTATTCCAGTTTAGGAAAGCTCCGGGCTTTCTAAGCTCCGCCCTGGCTTCCCTGTGAGGAAGGCAGACAGGTGAAATACCTATCTTTGCCTCTGACATTTACACCTGCCACTTACCACAAACTCCTTCATTTGTTTCTAAAAAGAGAAAATTGTGGAGCGTGCACCCTCAGTTCCTTGAGAGACTGAGGCAGGAAAATCACTTGAGCCCAAGGGCTTTGGGCCAATGCCAGAAACTATTGAAGATTCCATCTCCTTAAAAAAGTATGCCAGAAAAGGTTTGCAAATGTATTGCGGACAACAAACAGCCAGTAGATCAAAAAGAAAGTATACTCACCATGGTGATAAATGCTGGGTTATTTATCAAGCTGGCCATGTCAAAGCTCAACCCAGTTCCTGTCTGTAAAAGAGTTAGATGTGAGATTCATTTCAGCCACTATGATGTCAGTCGATCATAAAGGACAGATCTATTCCACAGACTTCACAGTGACAACTTACAGGACTAGCCACCTCTCTCAACTTCTGCTCCGCTATTTTCAGATTTGATTTATAGGAATCATTTTCAGGGTCAAGATCTAGTGCCTTCTGGTAGCTTGTAACTGCCTCTTCAAACTTATTCATGGCGGTGAGGGCCAGCCTTAGGAAAAAGAGTAGAGTTACATACACTAAAGAGCAGCAGGGTATCGTGATGACAAATACCTTAGTATTCGATTCTAACCCCGATTACACTGAATCCCTTATTACATTATGGTTCCAAGAGACAGCACTAAAATTCTCCCTAACTCCAAGATTCTATATGCCTGACTTGTCTCCTTTCTATTTGACTGTTGTCTCATTCAGATCACAAACCTAAAGCTCAGAGATGAAACATATTTACCTTTCTACTTTCTTTTTTTAAGATTTATTTATTTACTATGTATATGGTGTTCTGCCTGAATGTATCCCTGTACACCAGAAGAGGACATCAGATCTCATCACAGATGGTTGTGGGTCACCATGTGGTTGCTAGGATTTGAACTCAAGACCTCTGGAAAAACAGCCAGTGCTCTTAACCTATGAGCCATCTCTCCAGCGCCCTACCTTTCTGTTTTTTAAAGACTAACATGTAAATAAAGTAATTTGCTTTATGACTCTCTAGGCTGAGTTAAACAAAGATTTATGCCAGCAAAGGAAATCCATGATGCTGACATCATCCTAGTAAACAGGAGTGTCACGTGACCTTAGAACAATGCTGCCACCTACAGGTGTGCTGGGCTGCGTTCACAGCTATCCTGGAGCCCATGGGGCCCACAGGCCCCAGGTGAGACACACCTGCATCTAAACACTGTATTTCAAAGCATACCACATTCTTCCTTCCTAAAAGAACTTAAACACTAATATTAGTTTCTAGTTTTTTTTTTTTTTTCCTGTTTCACTTCCTACAGCTTTTTTAAACTATTGATTTATTTATGGGGGGCCGGGTGGCACCGGACAGATATGGAGGCCAGAGGGCAACTCTGTTGACTTGCTCTTTTCTTTCCACATTAACATGGGCTAGGGGACTGTGATCCGGTTGTCAGGGATACACAGCCATGATCTACTGAGCCATCCAACTGGCCCCCGTTCCTCATGCTTGTCAGAGGACTAGTCCTGACAACGTGTTAGTTGTTAGACAAAATAAGGGCCTCTTATAATTCAAATAATAAATTACCAGCACAGGCACAAGTCTACAAATTATTAAATTTCAATGTTTATCTTTTCCTACCTACAGTTTGCTTGAAAACCACATCAGAATTAAGCAATAATAGTATATATGAAACGATAGTATTGAGTGTCTTATTTGTTTTGGGATTTTTCTTGTAACAAATTAATCTAATCCCCTCTTTTCTGGATTACCTCACAGATTTCTTATGTAGGTAAAATAAGAAATTCTTACCACCCAACTAGTTTTCTATTAGTCACCCCTGAAGGATCCTCACCAGAGTTCCCAATTAATATTGAAAGCCTACTATGTACCAGGTACTATTTTAAATCCTGAGCATTCCACATTTTTTTAAAAAATTTCCTAGCTTTAAGAAATTCCCCTTGCACCTGATGGTGGTGGCACACACCTTTAATCCCAGCACTCAGGAGACACATACAGGCAGATGTGAGTTCAAGACCAGCCTTGTCTACAAGAGCTAATTCTAGGACAGGCTCCAAAGCCACAGAGAGACCCTGTCTTGAAAAACCAAAAAAAGAAAAAGGAAATCCCTTTGCACCTGAGAAGCACAGGCATCAATCATGCATACAGAACAGGGAATATTAAGCAGTATGACAGCAGAGTTTGCTCAAAAATGGCCACACCCAGAAGACATGAATGACAGGAAGTAATCATAGAGAAGATGAGGTAGGGCTATCTACCCAGGTGCAGCAGTAAACACAAAGGCCCTAAGAAAGATGCAGGTGTAGTATGCTTAAAATACAGGACAAAGGCACATAGGACAGAACACAAGAAACAAGGCGGAGAGATCACCTGGCTATGCTGGATCATACAGGACCCTTTATAGTTCAGACTATTTAACTACAGTTGCAATGGAATGATCGCAATGTTTGAATTATGCTTTCAGGTTTGGTGGGCAGGTCTGAGATCAGGCTGGCCTCCAAGTTGATATACAGCCAAGGGTGATCTTGAACTCATGATCCTCTTGCTTCTTCCTCCAAAGTGCTGGGATTGCAGGCATGCAGCGCCAAACCCAGGTTATGCCATGCTGGGACTCAAACCCAGGGCTACCTGAATGCTATGCAAATGTTCTACCCAACTTTTTGGGGCCATGCTTAAAAAGGCTTCCTCTGGCTTCTCTGCAGAGGATAAGCATTGATGAGTTATAGAACTGAGGTCTAAAAATCAGTCAGGAGGTTACTAAAGTAGACCTGGTAAGAGGTGGCAATTTGGGCTAGGCCTAGAAGCAAGCTAGTCAACAACTAATTCCAAGATACATAGGAGAATGAGACTAGACCAGAAGCGCCAATAAATGAGACAGATGAAAAACAACTTAGCCTTTAATCTATACACGGGGTCGACGGATGCTTGGAAAAGATTCAAGAAGAGAACAAGAGCTCTGTTTGAAACACATGAAATTCAAAATATCTATTAAATACTCCAACATGGAGATTAAAATTAATGGAATATATGAGTATGGTATTCAGAGAGAACTTAAGAAATCCAATGGCACATACAGTCAATTCTCAATTCACAGAAATTAAATCTTATAAAGTCTCCATGAGCATAAAACTAACAAAAACTAAATAGTAGTTTCCAGGGAAAATACATGGTTAGGGACCTATGAATGTTTTTGTGTTTTTATGGTCCAGGCTATGAAGTAAGTTTATTCAACCTGGTTTGTTACTTTCTCCAACAACTTTTTCCTGTCAGTTATGAAATACCCACTACTGACCTCATCCTCAAGTGTAGTCATTTCCTCCATTATTACATTTACTTATCTTATTATCACACAGAGTGCAAAGTTGGGATCGTCAACATCAAGCCTTAACAGCAGCATACAGGATGCTACTTGGCAACATCTTGGACATCTCTGAGCACTTACCCCATCCTTCCATAGGCCTTGCTGTATTTTGAGTCAATTGCTATTGCTTTCTCACAGTCCTTTATTGCATCCGTGTAGTGACTTAATTTGCTTTGAGCAGCAGCCCTTAGAAGAAAAAACATTAGAATCAGGCAGCTTTCAGGCACGGGTCCAGGCTTTTCAGGAGCGAAACTGCATAGTTCTTGTCCCGATTTTTACATCACTCTTCATAAATTTCTGAGTCAAACTGTCTAATTATACAACAATTTAAAAACAGCTTAAAACATCAGAAAAAATATGTAAGTTTCCTTCCCCCCCCCCTTCAATTTACAGAAAAGATGAATGTGTGGATCATAGAACCCATCTAGCTATTTATTGCCTCTCAATTTGCATGAAATGCAAACTGAGAACCCTGGGACGTCTGGACCACTAGAGAGGGAGGTTGCTATGGACTGGCCACTTTAACAGTAAGGTTAAGGATATCGAAATTCTCCAACCCATTCACACTTTCTCCCATCCATTGGCTTCTGACAGACCTCAGAATGTACCTCAGCAGAAGGCTGAAGAGGCTACTGTAGCAAAACAGCATCTGCCTAGGTAAACATCTTAGTAATCATGACCTGTCAATAATAACACCAAGTTCACTCAGCTGAGAAATGGGGAGGAGAAGCCCTAAGATTCATCCTCAGAGGCCAACAGGAACTATCAGCTGCCAAGAAAGAGTACATGAGGGACAGAGCAGGGGATTACCCCCAGGTTCTCAGGCCTCACCCCTGTTAAGGCATGCTGTGTCCTTCCAAACACGGTACCGCCAAAACCTGGGGTACCTTCTAATAGTAAAGGCAGGAAACAAACTAAGATACGGACTTAGAGTCTTTCAGGTTCTTGAGTCTACACACAAAATTCACAGCAAACACCCACACCTACACACATACACCTACACACCCACACACACACACACACACACACACACACACACACACACACACACACCTCCCCAAGGAGGTTGCATTTTGGTTTTCAGCTCTCATTTTGAGACACTATCTTGTTATGTAGCCAGGGCTGGTCTTGAACTCTCCTTCTTCAGTTCTGAACCTCTCTAAAGCTGGGATTACAAGTATGTTACCATGCCTCTCAGAAAAAGTGGCTTCGAGTCTACTTTTCTGTCAGCCGTTCTTCATACAGCTTAACTGAGGCCCTTGCTTCTTGGAATAAGATCATAAAAGTTTAGAGTTTATTACACAATCAACATACCATCTTACTTCTCAATTAAAAAAAACTGTGTGAGGAGTCAGACATGGTCCTGGGCACTAATCCACATCTCTGGAGATGCCAGGCAAGCTCTCCACCACACAACAACATCCCCAGCCCCGTCCCAGCACTTCAGCCTCTTTTTAAAACTTAAAAAGCAGACAGGAAAAGGAGCATGACTGGGGAGCATCACTGTCCTCCCAAGCTGACAATGGGGGACAAAGCAAGAGATCTGACTCAGGAGAGAATGTGGGAACAAAAGGTGACTGAGTTTCGTTCTTTGTGTGTGCGTGCATGCGTGCATGCGTGTGTGTGCATGCGTGTGCATGTGTGTGTGTGTATTGCGTGCATGCGTGTGTCTATGTTTGTGGGCACACTCGTGGCACAGGACGTGCATGGTGTCAGAGAACAACTTTTGGGAGTGGTTCTCTCCTTCTGCAGCAAGCATTGTGAGGACTGAACTCGGCCATCAGGCTTCTTGGCAGCACCGTTACACGATGACTATCCACCATGTGGATAGTTGTGTGCTTCAACCCTGACAACAGGTGGTAAGCTAAGATGAAAGTGGATTTGTGCAGCTCAGAAGCCTGGAGAGAAAGAAAACCAGGATGCGTCTGAGTCTCCCATGGATGAAGCCAAACATGTCAGCATCTGCACGCATGACAATGTGTCTGTACTCCAATTCTGCCGTCTGGTCACGGAGCAGGAATAGTAAACTTCAGTACAATAATGTAGGCACATAGGCCAAGTTTGTAGCCACCTTCCCTTTCTCGCCTTTAGAACTAGAGCATGAATATCACTTGTGTCCTATTTTTATAGAAAATAAGGCAGTAAAAAGTCATAGCTACTGCACATTTCCTCAACCATTCATAATTAAGTTATAACAAAACCTATTCTTATAACAATAAAAAAATCTTTAGACTGTTCACTGCATTTTTAGTTTAGGAAGGGACTGTTTATTTAGAATTTCAGGTTTTTTAAAGATATTTTTGTTTTTATGTCCATTGGTGTTTTGTCTGCAATGCATGTCTTGAGGGTACCAGATCCTCTGGAACTGGGGTTACAGTTGTGAGCGGCATGTGGGTGCTGGGGGCTGAAAAACCGGGGTCCTCTGAAGGAGCTGCCTCCGTTCTTAATCCCTGAGCCGTCCCTCTCGCATGGGTCTGGTTTTGCCTTGGAGAAGGTCTCACTATGTAACTCAGGCTGACATCAAGCCTGCTGTGTGGCGTAGGTGGCCTCACCCTGAAGACAGTCCCTGTCTGAGTCTCTGTGTTGAGATTACAGGTGTGTGTCACTGTCTCATTTAGACACAAGATCTCACCATGTATCCCTCGCAGTTCTGAAACTTACTATGTAGGCCAGGTCTGCCTGCTACTCACAGAGCTCTGCCTGCTTCCACCTCCTGGGTGGTATGATGAAAGGTGTGTGTCATCATGCCTAGGAACAACATATTTTGAAAGAGATTTTTGAAGTCTAGGTCTAGCGAGGCTCTTAGTGTAGATCAGTACCCTAACAGTGCACCGTGAAGTGATAGTAGCATGCTTAATTTACAACTGAAGAAACAGACTGTTAGCTGGGTGATGGCATGGCACACCTTTATCCCAGCACTCAGGAGGCAGAGGCAGGCGGATCTCTGTGAGGTCGAGACCAGCCTGGTCTACAGAGTGAGTTCCAGGACAGGTTCCAATGCTAAAGAAACAAAGAAAGGTGAACACCAAGTGTTTTCAGAAACAGAAGACACACATACTGAAAAGTGCCAACTGCAATCAATTGTTGTTTTATGGGGACATGTGTTAATGTGATAATCCAATTTCTTCATCATCACTGGAAACGCCTTACATTTCTTCAGAGCTCTCTGTCAATCTGCATGAGTTCCTGGGAGGGACACGGCTGCTGCTATGGGGCACATAAGATATGTCCCCGACTCTGCCCTGCTCGGTAACAAACAATGCAAAGCTGCATGTAGCATGAGGGAAAACAGGCTAAACCTATATAAGTGTTACATATGTGGTAAGTGCTAGATGCTCAAGAAAAAAAATAAATAAAGTTAAAAAAAAAAAAAAAAAAAAAAAAAAACCTAGGCTTTCAAAGAAGTACCCCTGGGCTGGAGAGATGACTCAGCCATTAAAGGCTAGGCTTCCAACCAAAAAGACGAAGAAGGCCTCCTGTCTCCTCTGTATCAGAAGTGAGCATGTCAAAGCATCCTTCAGAGCCAAACTGGAAGGTAAAGGCCAGAGTAACACCTCTCCATACAGCACAGTTCAGCCCAGTGCACTGGGTGGGTGGGGAACATTTTAACCAGCATTAACCTGTGAAATGGGGTGTGGGGAAGAAGGTTCCTACCTGGGAGTTCAAGCCTCCATTTCTAAGCAGCCAGGTGGCTAAGAAAAATGGAGTGGTATTTGGCCAAGTTACAGCAGCCTATGGCCCCAAATCCCCAAAATTATCCTATGGTTTTTTATTCAGCATTTGTGTTATGTAGGCAAATAAAGCTTCCTAATTTTTTAATATTCAACAGCAGGTCCTATGACTAAACTCCTCCAGGGAAAGAGCCTATTTAAATTCAAAAGAGACGTGTATTCATTAATTTCAATTTAACAGTAATTAAAAGCAAGAATAGATATTACCAAAAATCTCTAACCTTGTTATAGCTAGCAGACATACAATTATTAGTGAGTTCTAATCTCATGAAAAATGAAATATTTACTTAGGCTCAAGTTTTTCATATAAACAAGTATGTGGATTTTACAGCAATTTTACAGTATAATATTTATATCTTGTCATAATATATCATGATACTTTGAAATTTATTTTCAAGGTTTAATCTACTAAATTAAATTAAAACATTACATATAGTTATCTGGCTACAAGACTACGATTCAAATATCAAAATGTAGCTTGGGAGAATTCCTCTTCTTCAACTTATTTTTGGGTTTTCTGTTTTTCTGAGATAGACTTAGAATGATTCATTGGTTTTTCTATTTTTTATGCCTATGTGAAAAATAAAATGGAGGTTCCCAGTATGGCCCATTCAGTTCTTTATGGATCCAACCCCTCCACAAATAACTATAAATTAAAGATGAAAGCAGAAGTTTATACAACTGGGCTGGAGAGATGGCTCAGAGGTTAAGAGTAGTGACTATTCATCCAGAGGTCCTGAGTTCAATTCCCAGCAACCACGTGGTGGCTCGCAGCCATCTGTGGTGGGATCTGCTGCCCTCTTCTGGTGTGCAGGCACATATACAGACAGAACAATGTATACATAGTAAATAAATATTAGAAAAAAAGAAGTTTATACAACTATAAATTACAAACAAAAGCAGATGTTTACATGACAGAATTTCTTCTCTTCCTCCTCCTTTTCTTTTTTCAGACAGGATCACACTGTAAAGACTCAGATTTGTGATATTTTGGTCTCAGCCTTCCTGAGTGCTGGTATTACAGGTGTGTACAAAAGTGTGCTCAAAGTATGTGCTCTAAAGTGATCTCATTACTACTTGGCGGAGAGGCTCACCAAGCTTTTGTGCAAAGAATGCTAGCCTTCTTTTAAGCATTGAAAGAAAAACCCTAAGGAAATGACTCAGGAAATAATTCTACACCTATATCTCCCTAATATGGTTATTGGAGACAGAGTCATCCTATGAATCTCTGGGCTGGCCTGGAACTCGTGTAGACCAGGATGGCCTCCAATTCACAGAGTGCTGATATTCTGTTTGGTTTTTTGTTTTGTTTTTGTTTCAGCAGATATGTACAGTGTCTGAAAATTAAAGTCAGAAAAATACCCGGAATGTACAACCCAAAGGCAAAATGGGCATTTACAGGAGGCCATCATTTTGAGCCTGTGCCAATAAAGAGTCTACAATAAAAGCACAGTTTCCCACTTTGCCAGATCCTAGCACCAACGAATGATACAAGGGTGGCAGCAAGCACCTGTAACCCCAGCAATGAGTGGGGAGACACAGGCCAGTCTCGGACTCGCTGGCCAGCCAATGTAGCAACCCCTGTGAGCTTTAGAGTCAGTGAGAGACATTCTCAAAATAGGGTAGAGGGCAATAGAGAAGAAACTCGAGGTCAAGTCTGAGTCCCACACATGAGTATGTGTGCACAAGCCTGTAGTACTTTGAAAGAAAATGTCTCCCAAAGGGAGTGTCACTGTTAGGAGGTGTGGCCTTGTAGGAGGAAGTGCGTCACTGTGGGGGCGGGCTCTGAGGTCTCTTTTGCTCAAGCTTCCCTCAGTGTAATTTCCAGTCAACTTCCTGTTGCCTGGAAGATGCAGACTCTCAGTTCCAGCACCATGTCGGCTTGCGTGCCACCATGCTCCCTGTCATGATCGCAAGGGGCCGAATCTCTGAAATCATAAGCGAGCCACCCCAATTAAATGCTTTCTTTACAAGAGTCATTGTGGTCATGGTGTCTCTTCACAGCAATAAAATCCCGAACACGCACACAGAATAAACATTAAACATTAAAAAGTGAGATGGCTCGGCACATAAGACTCAACTACTGTGCAACCGCTGAGCCTGAGTGAGATCACATAAGAAGGACAAACAAACTCCCCAAACTGGCCTTTGACCTCCACATTCAAGTGTGGACCATCACTCTTTCACACATATCCACAGCACACACACACAAGAATAATTTAAGACAATAAGAAAATTCAGAAGAACCCTAACCACACACAACCAACATTTTAAGAAATGCCCTGCCTGACTAGTCAGTAAATATGAGATATAACAATCTGTATGAAAACACTATTAAAATAGTGACGATAATTAATAATCAGGGAACCTAATGTTCATAGAGACCGTGTCAAAAACAGACATATCTATCCCTAGGGCAGGGAACAAGAGAAGTTACAACAATTTTTCAGTTAGTGTCAACTTTTTAAATGTTTGTAACTGGTAAACCAACCCAATTCTTTTTCTGTGGACTGATCTAAAGTCCAGAAAAAAAATATTAGAAACACAGATGTTCACTAAGTGTAGATGACGCTGGAAAAGTGGGAACAAACTCAGAGGCCGGCCACAGCATTCTATCCACTTACTCAACAACACTAAATGCGTGTTTGCTAGCCCCATTATGGGCACTGGGAATACAAATAAGAATAAAAGGTAACAACGATTATTTAAATAAGGCTTGTGAAGAACTTCACACACTTAGGATGCTGTTAGTTCATGCCATTTACCACAGTTGGTAAAGTGCTTTGTCCAGTTCAATTTCCAGCACCACATGAACTGAGTGTGGTCAATTTAGCCCAGAACTCCTGAACCTGAGGCAGGAGGACCAGTTTAAGGCTGTCATCAGCTACACGGGAAGTTCTAGACTAATGTGAGCTACATGAGGCACAATTATTGCATGCCCAGTGAACAAAGTACACTCTAAAGTTGACTGCATTCCTATAAAACAAAATATTTTTGCTCTGAAAAAACCTTGTGGCTTTTTTCCCTCCTTCAGCTTACTTTTCTGAACTTGCTAATTTTTCTGAACAAACTTATTTGATGTCTGCTTTTCAGAGCTTTGCTTCCCAGTGCTTCAGACTGAACACGCTGACAGGGAGCCGAGTTACCTGTTGCAGTAATAAACCGCATTATTGGGGTCCAATTCTATGGCCTGCGTGTAGCAATCCACTGCAGCGGTGTAATTTTCCTCTTTCATGTGGTTATTGCCTGCAGTCAGATCAATGATAGACACTGTAAGCACCGAGTATGAAAAAGTGTAGTCTCACAGATACGTTTCAACCATAGAAACTACAACAACAAGAAGGTCACACATGAAGGCCGTGTTTTTCAGCCACACTGGGGTCGATTTTATCTCATCCCAGAGAGCTACTGTTCTTACTTTCACAGGGTTTGAATCATTTAGACAGTGTGGAGTCATGGAAATGAATGTTTGCATAACTTACAAAATCCAGGTGGTCGGGGTAAAAGCAAGCATCAGGGCTAGGTCAAGAAATGTATGCTTTCCTTCTCCATCGTCCTCACTCTGCTCCTCTTTAGAGCACTCTGTGTTCCCCCCTTCATCCCTAGCCACCACCTCAAGCTGGACCCGACCTTCCCTTCTTCCCTGTAACTCATACACACACCTCTGGACGGCTATTGGGCTAGCTGGGCTTCCTATTCTAGGAAGGCTGTTTGCTAAGAGTGAGCTGGTGAAACCAATTGTGCTAATATGTCTTTAGCAGATAATATCCTTTTTAAAGGGGAATAGGATCATTTTAAGGAGATTATAGAAGATTAATTTCTAGAGAGCTAGGATTTCAGAAGACACGCTAGCCTGCTGAGTACAGATTTTTCAGGAAGGGCAATTGCACATACAGTTGGCAGTAATTTAGTGAAATGAGGAGTTTCCTGTGACTATCTCTGCCACTGCATCAACGAAGGGGTTCACGGCCCAGCGTGTTGGTAAGAACCACTGGTGAACACAGAAAAATCCTACAACTGCAGTGGGGATGAAGGGCTTTTGCCTCAGAGCATCTGTGATTGGCCAGTGTCTGTGTTTATGTTCTCCTGATTCGCTGCTTAGTAGGAAGTGGGGTGGATGAGCCTGCAGTGAGCGGGAACTAAGGGGAATGGAGGGATAGCTCAGAGATTAAGGGCACTGGTTGCTCTTCTAGAGGTCCTGAGTTCAATTCTCAACTACCGAATGGTGGCTCACAACCATCCATAATGAGATCTGGTGCCTTCTTCTGTCATGGAGGCATACATGCAGACAGAACACTGTGTACATAATAAATAAATCTTTTTTTAAAAAACTGTTTAAAAAAACTCTAAGACGATAACAAACTTTTATGAACAAGAAAAGCATTAATCACATTAGCCTGAGGTATTTATATTTCTTTGTCAAAGACTTCCTCTTGGTTGAGATGTTTGCTGCTGCTGTTGAACTTTTTTTGTGTTGGGATAGTATTTTACCATCATCAGCATTAAACTTTACTGGGGCCTTCCTATGAACCACCTTAAATGTGTAGGTGCTATAACGTGTATATAGACATTACAAATACATACAAGATATTATAAATACATGCCAGAACTGTAACGTAAGTTAAGGAGTAGAAAGCTTCCATCTACAGGGTACTCAGGACACAGAGGAAATCTATCTGTAGACATACACAGCAGGAAAGCCCTGGCATAGCATTTTATAGTTGTGTGATAATTTTCCTACCAAACAGCCCCCTTCCACTCTCAAAGTCCCATCGGGAGACGGCAGCCTCAAGCCCTTCCTGATCTCTCTGCTCTTCAGAAGTACACGAAACATCTGAAAGCCATGCTCAGGGAGGGCACACCGCCAGTCTGCAATGACCCTGTGCTTGACAACTTAGCATGACTATCTGTTTACACATAATCTAGACACACATAATCTAGCACAATCTAGACAAAATGGCTATCATTCTGACTTGGGCTATAGCATGTCTGACATATGACCCGTTTCAGTGAAAACAAAGGACAGAAACCTTTGTTAAAGGTGAAAGCCAGCCTCTCCATCTGCTGGGTTGGAGTCTCGTGATACACCTCCCTCTAACCCACATCCTCCCAACACTCATTACATCAAAACAAAACCAAACAAAAACCTCCACAGGGATGGCCATTCCCCAATGCTGCCGTGCAGAGAGCATAGCATGGGGACAAAAATAACATTTCAATTTGCCGTGTACTTCACTAACAAACACTAGCACTAAACCAGCTGCCTCACTAAAAAGGCAGTAGAGACGGCACCGTGCAAAACCCGAGTGGGTAAAAATCTTCCATTGAAGCAGCTCCAATTGGAAAGTATAACATGAAAAACGTATTTGTATCTGGACTGCTGAAATACAAAAGCTTTGGGAAATACAACTTACATGGCAGTGAGTATTGGGTGTTGTTTTTATTTTACGTCTAAATTATGAGGTCACGGTGTGTTGATGTTTCACAGACTTTTGATAATTCCTTTTTTAGAGGAAACAAAATTGAAAACAGAGGCTAATCTACTTGTCCAAAGCACAGAACTTTATAATGTAACCCTAAAATAGCAAAAACATGGGAGAACCAGGATGTAACCAAATATACTAGGTAATAAACACGGCAGGTGCCATATGAGAGCAGGAATGAATTTCAGAAATCTCTTTAAAAGCATTAATTATTTGAAAGTTTAAATTACACTTAAAATTAATTGCTGCTTCTTGATGAAAAAGAAAGAGGAATTTGAGTCAAATAGCAAACGCATTTCCGAGTAAATAGCCTATAAGGTACTTTTTGGGCGAAGCTTACAAGAGATTGGCTAGTCTTGATTGCCTTGGTGTTGACAAGGCAATCGGTGTCACCGGGGCCCTTAGCCATCACATTCAGATCTGCCCGGCAAGTGCCACAGGGATTTACAGCCGTGCAGTCCCAACAGTGCAAACTGTGATGCTATCAGCTCAGGGCTGCTGTCTCCAGGGTGGCAGAAGGCGACTTCTGCAGTATTTACCTTCATCTTTCAATTGGTCGGCCTTTCCCACATCTTCAGGCACTGAGTTTGAAAGGGGCAGAATGTCATTCTGAAATGATATCAAAATGTGTCTCTTTTTAGCTAAATAAAAAAATCACCAGAAATCTATAAATAATCACAATTGCACACATTTTAGTAACTTGTCTGTGCTTGCATTTCACTAAATGTAACACCCAAGCCAGTGTTAACAAGAAATGGGAAAAAGTCCCCCCATGTACTTTTATTAGAAATATGATTTGTTTGAACTTTTCTAGATACTAGGTACCCGAGAACCAGCTGTTTTCTCAGTTCTGTGATTCACAAATGCTAGACAAGAGCAAACCACTGAGCTGCACCGCCAGCAGGCTGGTTTTGCCCCTTTCACTTACTTTGAAGTAGGCTCTTTCACACTAAGATGCCTAGGTCATCCCTGAACACACTTGATAACCCAGACAGGCATCAACCCTATGGTTTACTGCCTTGGAGTCAGAATTGCAGGTCCAGCGTTCTCCTCTACCCCAAATGTTTTTCCCATATCAGAAATCCCATTTCACAAAATAAGGAATTGATATACAAAGAACAAGAACAGAAGTAGAAACTTTGCAAACAGAGTGTTTGTTATCCTAAGACACATATCTTAAGTCATCAATTAAAAGGACATCTATAATGTGGTCATTTAAAGACATATAAAAATGTGCGCACACACAGGTTCACACACAAAGACTGAGACGGTGTATGCCAAAAGCTAACAGTATTAGTATTTGGAAATAAACATTTCAGTCTCTTCCTTATGTCTCCGTATTGTCCAGTGTTTTAAACAATAGTCAAATAGTAACTAACGAGTAAGATGAACAATAGCATGAAATTCTGTACCAGCACCTGCTACCATCTGTAAACCTCTCAGGGATGAATTTAAAACCAAAGGTGCTTCTAAAAGTAAACTGAACATTCAGGTAAACTCTGAATGACAGTGGAAACATGTGTATCTTTGCATTTATGGAAGACCTTTACAAAATTATATCATTTTTAACTTCACTCCAAAGTTAAAAATAAGTCTACAATATTGAAAAAAAAAGAATAATATGTAACCTTTATGCCAATATACTATCCTTAAAATACAAGGTAATCCGTCTGACCTAAAGTTTCAAGAAAATTGACAAACTGAACATGGAAATGTACTTTGCTAAAATCACTGACAAAGAATTTGACTTTTGTCTTAAAAAACAAAACAAAAACAAGCAAACAAACAAAAAACCAGGCAGTGGTGGTGCACACCTTTAATCCTGAGCACTTGGGAGGCAGAGGCAGGTGGATCTCTGAGTTTGAGGCCAGCCTGGTCTACATAGTGAGTTCCAGGACCACCAGGGCAACACAGAGAAACCCTGTCTTGAAAAAAAAAAAACCAACCAAACAACAAACAAAAAACAACAACAGCAAAAACACCAAACAGGGCTGGAAAGATGGCTCAGTGGTTAAGAGCACAGGCTACTCTTCCAAAGGTCCTGAGTTCAATTCACACATGGTGGCTCACAACCATCTAGAACGGTATCTGGTGCCCTCTTCTGGCATTCAGATATACCTGCAGACAGAGCACTCATACCTAAAAAGACATATAAATAAATAAACATTTAAAACACCAAACAAACAAACCAAAAAACCTTCTCTGTAAAGCATAGACTATTAAATTAAAAAGACACAGACACTAAGTGGAGAACTCAGGAGTAGTCACTGCCTAACTACAGTCCCTATGACTCTATATGCATTTAGCATTTCACAACTCCCAACAAACCTATGCAGTTTATTAATTTTAAAAAATGAATCATTTGGGTCAGAAAAAAAAATGGCCTAATGGAAATTTGATTATAATTTTTTCCCAACCCCTTAACTTTTAAAATGAAATCACAGTTTTATATTGAAAAGTAATTCTTTATATTGAAAGTAATTCTGAACACCTTAAAATGTGTTGGCAATTGTTATATATTTTAAATAAAGGAACGAGTCCACTTTGTATATGTATAAACCAAGCTAGGGGGCAGGAATAAAAAGCAGCATCCTAACATTAAAGTGACTAATGCCACACTCAAATATATTTGATGAGACAAACTCTTTCATCACAATGGTGTCAATGCTGCTTCCACACACTTTAGACTTCCTGTACTGCAAAGTATTAACACGCTGAGTAGAAGCTCAGGTGTGGACCTGGGCACTAAAAGATGATGCTACCACAAATAATATCCTGAAGATGTCACAGGGAGTTAGTCTCCACCAAGTCACGTTTTAAAAGAATATACAACAAATCTCCCACAACGAGGTGCAACCAGAAAGCTCCAGCTAAAGAGCTTTATTCAAGGAGAGTATAAAAGTCAAGTGGCTTTTCCTGGAAGACAGTAACCATGGTAATTAGTGGTGATGCCTTCAGAACTGTCTGTGGAGACACTAGTTTGAGAGCAAGCAAATTCCAACTGCTGTCTAATGCACAGCCCGTGGGAAACTGGGCATAAAGATCTGCTTTAGCCATGCTCTTATTTAGCAACTAAAACAGGGTGCCTCAGGAAGCCACAAACTCAGACACGGTGAAATGACAGTTTATCTTAAAGAAAAGACAAAGGAGAGCAGAGACACGCAACTCCTCACATCTTGCCCTACAAGCTCATTTGCTTGGCGAGGTAACCTGCACCTAGATTATTCTCTTCTAAGTCTAGAACAACCAAATTCCATCTTTAATGCAAGTACTTCAAGACTCTCTTGCCAACAAGTCCTAGAAACACAGCTTAATGGGGAACACAACTTAATGTACTGTCAAAGCATCCACTCAAAGCTGAAGCTAACACCTCCTGTGCCAGCATCACTCCCAAGCTCCCCATCATGCTAAACTTGGGTACAACACTAGCATAGAGTACCCGAAGTGGGTGCTGGGAACACAAGCCTGGTCTTCTGCACCAGCAGTATGTGCTCTTAACCGCTGAGCAATCTCTCCAGCACCACTGGAACTTCAACAATACACTGTGAAAGACTTCAAGGTAGGCAAGGTGAGACTGTGAGACCAGCTGCTGATATGAACATCTAAAGCACATTAAGTGAGGTATGTTTTAGTTACTAAATAATATCCAGGAGGAAGCTGATTACTTGTAGACCTGTCCCCTCAACTATTAAGAGCCCAAGACAAGCTGGGCAATGGTGGGGCATGTCTTTAATCCTAGCACTCAGGAGCAGAAGCAGGTGCATCTCTGAGCTCAAGGCCAACCTGGTCTACAGAGTGAGTTTCAGGACAGCCAGGGCCACCCAGAGAAACCCTGTCTCGAAAAAAAGGAAAGAAAGAAAGGGAGGAAGGAAGGAAAGAAAAGAAAGGAAAAAATCTCAAGATAAAACTGGATCATACTTGCATCAAATACTATTGAGAAGGAAAAAAAAATGCCAACATACCTTACAGACGGAGTTTGAGAACATTTCTGTCAAAGGCTGTGAAACTGCTAGATGTGTATCTTCTGAACTGATCTTAAAAACTGTCTCCAAGCACTGAATTGCAACTTGAAATAAAATAAGGGCAGGGAGATTAGCAACTTTAAAAAGGAACCTTCGGTTTTTCCTTACAGAAATGTAATCTCTGGTAAATCAGGGTTTATGGTCAAAGAACAGGAGGAATACTAATTGGTCCAGCTGCATGGAAATTTCTATTTATAAACGAGCTATCAGAAAAAGACAGTGGTCTCTTCTTTCTCACTGGACGGTGTTAGCCAGAGTATAATTTCTGAACATACATAGTACATCATAGTCTTGTTGAAGGCTACCAGAAAGAAGAGCATATCACTAGTATCTTATGTTCCAATACTAACATCTAATGCATTAGACAAACTTAAATTGTTATACATCATTTATATATGAAAAACAAGACTTTCAACCCAATGGAAATTAGTAACAGAAGCATAATGCCTGGCCCAAGGCAGTCACCAAATATTAATCCTGGCACAGTAACATAAAAATAGGTGTGTTTTAAAATATTCATTCATGTATGCAAATTTACTGCATGCCTGCTATGTGTAAAGTTCTGGTCAAGGTGCTCCAAGCATTGCAATAAACATAACAGGGAAAACAGATCACTGTCCATATTCTAAAGCAAAGTACGTAGCATGCTAAACGATGACAGTCGCCTCATCTATTTTCGGCGGAGGACAAAGTAACTGGTTGGTACAAGGGTACAAGGCACAGAATGATGCAAAGACACGGAGGGAGATTATGTAAGAATCAAAGACTTAACAGATCACAAGGCAGCTTCAATGACATTTTTAAAGAGTGGGACTCTGCAACTGGCAAACGGAGGGCTTTCAAGGATTTAGTGAAGGAAAATAACTGTCTGTGTTTAGCACGAAAAGGCTGGGAGGAAGGCTGGGAACAGCCTAGAACAGGGAACCAGGTGGGCTCCCACTCAAACGACATACACAATTGAGCAGCCCACGGCTGAAGCTGTGAAGAGACGCACTTTGTCCTCTCTGCAAGGACCCTTTGAGGGGACAAGACCGGTTCTTATCCTGATCGCTCTCCAGCTGGAAAAGAAAATAAGCATGTGGCCAAAATAACCGCTGCCCTTCTAACACTCCTGAATAGGTCCATGTACATTTTATGAGACTTTTAGAAGCTACTTAACGTTTTAATTGTGGTCTTGAGAAAAGTATCCCTATCATAAAATAAGTACTATTACTTTCAGCAGCCACAGAAAGATTCTCCTTAGGAAGGGCCTGAATAAAGCACCAAGTTCTACGCAGTAAGAAGTAAAAGCGTCTTTTAGGGAGAAAATAATCTATTTACCGAAGTCTAAAACTTTCTTCTTTTCCCCTCTGTGTTTTGATATTTTGGCCTCCTCAGTAGCTACAACTACAAAAAATGTGGTTTTCTCCTTTTCTATTTCTCCCAAGCAGATAAAGCTGCATGTAAAATGCTGGGCTGCAAGAAAATTTGTTCTTGGTGCCGCGACACATACAATAATAAAAATGTATGCATGTGTGTCTGTTTACTCTTGCACCCCCCCCATCCTGCATCAGACTCTCATTCTCTACCACACCGTGTACTCTGTGGGGTTCTAGTACGGGAAAGATTGTTCCATGTCATATACCATGGCATGCATGTATCTCATGCCAGACTATCTCCTGGAGGACAGGGTCTATTATCTTATTCATCTTTGGCTTTAACAAAGTCTGGCAAGTAGTAGATGGCCAACAAGTGGAATCTGTTGGCTTCTTTGTCTGCAGTAAAATATCATACTTTAACTTTCAAGGAAATTTAAAATGATCAGATCTAGGGCAGAGAGCATTTCTCCTGCCTATCACCTGGCTACCAAAACCAAAACAGCAAAACCTAAACATAAGTTCCCGAATACAAAAGTAGATCGAGAGAACAAAAACAAGCCATTAACTGCAAACCAGGCCATGGAACTTCAGAGCTAAACAGACAGGAAAGATTCACTACGGAAACATTCTATGGGGAGGGGTTGATGAATCCTGCCCAGTAGATGCAGAAACCAAGATAGAGACCAGATAAATACCAACCTAGGATTATGGAATTCAATTCAACAAACACATGTGGAGCACCTATCAAATGTCAGTCCCCTTTCTAGATACTTGCTCTACCAGTGAATCATCACACAGAATAGAACCTTAACTTCTTGGAGCAGAGGACAAGGACTATAAATAAGAAACAAGGGTAAGGAGGATGGGGAGGACAGGAGCTGAGCAGGGACACAGATTTAACTTAGAGTTCAGGGCAGGCCTCCTTGAACAAGAAATCTGGCAGACTCCAAAGGGATGGAAGTGTTACCATTACAGCAGGTACAGATGACGGAGGCTGTTCCAGGCCAAGGAAGCAGGCAGAACAAAAAAAGCCTTTAGGCACAAGGGTCTGAGGCCTCCCCAGTAAGGAAGATAATTTGGCTGAAAGCAAATGAAAAACAGCAGGTGGACAATATGTCCAAATTCCATAGATCCTTTATACAATGACTAAGGAACCTAAGGAGTCCTGGCAGGATTCTACATAGAGAATAACAGAATCTGCCAGTCTTAAGAGATGGATGTGTTTGGGTAGTCCAAGAGAAGCCAGGAGTGGCGAAGAAAGACCAGTTGGGGGTTATCACAGTATTACAAAAAATAAGCAGTTTCAACCAAGGGAGATTCCAGTGGAAATAGTAAAAGATGGTTTAATCTCGAATTGTATTTTATGGTTTCGTTTGGTTGATTTTTGCAGTACTGGGGACAGCAGACACACTGGGCAAGGACGCTGTGACTGAACTATATTCTCTAACCCCTGACTCAAGATGCATTTTGGTCCTAGTGTGGTGGCACACACCTTTAATTCCAGCACTCAGGATGTGGAAGCAGGTGGATTTTTATGAGTTTGAAGGCAACCTAGTCCATCGACAGAGTTCTGGCCAGAGACTCATGCTGGGACTTTGAGAAAGAAAGGGCAGGCTGACTTTTGAAGGCACAGACAAGAAGATTTGCTAACAGTTAGATGTAGAGTATGAGAAGAACAAGACCCTAGAATGATGCCCAAGTTCTTGGCCCAAGCAAATAGCACTGGGGCTGCTCTCCCTGGGAGAGGGAGCTTGTGGGTAGAACAGATTTTAGGTAGGAGGACTGTGAGTTCTCTTTTGGCAATGTTAATTTTGAGATGCCTACTAGACTCGAAAGTGAAGATGTGTGGTAGGAAGCTGGATATAGAAGTCTGGGTTTAGCAGAAAGGTCTGGGCTGGGGTTACAGTTCTAAGAACTGTCAGCATATACATTTGGGGTACTTCAGGCAAATAAGTTAAATACTCTCACCAAAGAAAGGACTGAAGATGGTGACCAAAAGAAAAATCAGTCAACTATAGGAATGATAGGTCAGGAAAAAAGGAACCAGCAATGGCGAGAAAGAAAGGAAATGGGATGATAACCAAGGGTTATGAGATGTTCTAGAAGATAAGTACAATACATGAGAATGGGATGAAGAAAAGAATTAGTAAGTCAGATAAAGAATAAGAACTGTTTAACTAAACACAGAATCACTAATGCCCTTAATGAAAGTAGAATGGATGGAGATAAAGGATTACAATTCTTAAAATTAAGAAATAGAAGAGTTGGAGAAAGCAAGTGCAGACAACTCCTTCAAACTGTTGTATTACAAATGAAGACAAAAAAAAATCAGGTAAGGGGGACTGGGTACAATGACAAGAATGTCCATTTTAAAGTATTATGTTTATTTTATGTGTATGCGTGTTTTGACTGTATGTACATATGTTAGTGCATCATATTTGCACCTGGTGCCACCAGAGGTCAGAAGAAGGCATTGAATCTCCCAGGGCTAGAGGTAAAGACAGTTGTGAGCCAACACATGGGTGCTTGGGACTGAACTCAGATCCACTGGAGGATCACCCAGTGTTCTAAACCATTGAGCCAACTATCTAGCCCCCAGAATTATTTGCATTTGCGTGTGTGTGTGTGTGTGTGTGTGTGTGTGTGTGTGTGTGTGTGTGCCGGTTGTGAACAGGATGCCCTCAGAGACCAGAAGAGGACTTCACATCTCCCTGAAGATAGGGCTATTGGGGGGGAGTGAACCACTCATGGACTGGGACCTAACTCAGGTCCTCTAGAAGAACAGCTATCGCTCTCAATCACTGAGCCATCTCTCCAGCCCTATTCATTTTTCTTTTCCTCAGTTTTCTTTTTATGAAAGAAGAACTAATGGTACATATATGATTGGGTAAAAATGATGCAGTGGAGTGAAAACTTGATGACGTAGACAAAGGGATAGAGAATCCACAGTAAAGTCCAAGCTGGTGACATAGGATGGGACAAATGTGCCAGCAGAGAGATGTCCACCAATAATAACAGGCGGACAGGTAGGCAAGCATGTGGGTGTTGGCAGTGAGTCAATGTAAGGAGTGTAGAAGGTGGTAGATCGTGTTTATATTATATATGTGTGTGTGTATCAAACACACATATATATGTATATATATACACACATACACACACACACATACATACATACAGTGAAGAAAGCATCTAAAGGTAAAGGCTGAAGCAAAAGCCTGGGGTCTCAGAAGATAAAGAGATTATTAAAATGACTATCTAGGATAATACAAAGGATGAATGAATGAATGAATGAATGAATGAGGAACAAACACCCTGCTCCCCCAGCAGCACTAAAGGTATGCTTAAGGTTTGCAGTCATGAATTAATATAGCTAGTCAGCAAAACTGTACATTTTGCTTCATTTATAGTCAAATGGCTATGGACACAGTAGGTAGAAAACTAAAATTAAGGTTTTTGTTTTTCAAAACGGGTGAAATAGTACGAGAAAATATCACAATGATCCACCACAGGATTTAAGACAAGTCAGAAAGAGGAAACTATGGGAGCGACAGACTGAAGGGCTGGCGGGGTTGTTCAAGGAACTGTTGGGCTATGGATACTAGGGGGAGTATGCTAGGAACACAGACAGTAGGAGTCAGGAGGTCAAATGTTTAAGATAGAGGTTGCTGGTGGCATACAATCTGGGAATGACACGGTCTAGGAAAGGAGCGCTGCGTCTCATCACCCGACACGTTAGATCAGACAGTCCCTTCTTATCCAGGCCTGTCTGGGGCAGTGTTGCCTGTTTAACATCATCTATGGCTTCTACCCATGACATGCCAGTAAGACCAGCCTCCCCAAAGGTTGTGACACTCAAAAACATCTCCAGACTTTTGCAGAACGGCCCTCAGTTCAGAAACGCAACCTAGTATATAACCAAGTGGTTGAGATCAAGGGGAGGAGAACAGGGTAAGGGGCCAGTGACGAGCTGCGAGAGTCACCCTGGAGTCTATTCATCAGGACTGGAAAGAGCAAAGATGGGGCGGGGCTTGCAAGAGTGACAGGACGCTGACAACAATCAAGAGTGAAGTAGATATCAGAGATGACAATTAGGAGGGGTGCATGACATAATCTGGTAACACACCTCAAAGCTGATGGAACACAGCTCCACAACAGTGGTAAATCAGGTGCTAGAACACTGGAGCCTTTCCTCAGGCATTTTTAAATGTCTAGAAGGTGGGCAGACACCTCCACATGACTTCATGTTCAATTAAATTAGACTCACAGAGTCAAAAATAGGGGTCAGCCACAAACAATTGGCACCATCTCCGACTCCATATATAACAAACAGCTGAAGGCACATATTTTTGGCTGAATGCCATTCTAAAAATAGGGCATAGCATCTTGGTTTTTAAAATACTCTCGGTTTTCTTTCTGTTTCATAAAAAACACCATTCTGCCTTAGATTAGAAAAGAAACATCTTTTATTACATGATCGCTTTCCTCTGTTGCCAGAGAGCAATCACAACCAAGACTTTCTTTGATAGCCAAACTACCATCATCTTCACACACTCTGACCATCAGGGAGGACAAAAAGACAGGAATATTAAAAGGGCTAATTTGCAATGTCCTCCCACTGTGCATCACCTAATCCTCTCATTGCCACCTGGAAAGACATCATCTCACCAGACAATTTAGAACAAAATGCCCAACTCTGATTTGCACCTACTTAAAGCATATCTACAAAGAAAGTACACAGAGTTAATAGATGAGTCCCTTCTATAAGAGAAGCAACTTGAAGATGGGAATTATTCAGCTCTCCCCCAATGTGCCCTCATTGCAACAATTAAGTCTCCGGACCACATCGGTTTACTGAATTTTTCACAAGCCTATGGACCCATATCATTCTATCTTCTTACAGCTATACTGAATTAAAGTTTTATAATACATAAACATGAAGCACAAAGATGGTATCAAGGAAATGCATGGTGCTTCTCCAGGCCCGCTCAGCTTTACAGATTACTGAATCCAAGATTTAAAGCTCACAAAAAAACAAGGGCAAAATCCTCTCATCTCCCAAAGTAGCCTTTGCTGGAGCTCAGTCACGGTATAATTACTTAGATTTTTTTACATAGTGCTATAGCAATGACTAAGGTTTTTTCAAGTGTTCTGAATGAGATCCTCTCCTTATTAGAAAAATGAGGAGAAAAAAATCTTTTAGAGTATGGACTGGGGTTTAAAATCTCAGCTTGCTACACAGTAACTATTCTGTAGCTTAAAATTATCTGATCTCATTTCCTCATCTGTTAAGTGGGAACAATGGTAACAGTCCCCCTGAAGAAAAATTTCCCTAGAACGTGGATGACATACTTCTGACAGTAATTTTTGAGTAAATAAACAATAGTTCTATTTTTTTTATTAGCTAGAACAAGTCTCAGGAAATGGAAATAACACATCTAGTTAAGCATGTCAACAAAATATTATGATTTTGTTATTAAAAATCATAAACTTGGGATTGTAGCTATTTTAATCTTTCTCTATAGTTACGACATGAACACAAAGAACAGATGCTTACCTTCCAAACTCTCTTGTTCATCCGAAGTATATGCATCCATCTGACTTTGCTCCCGCAAGAAACGAATAACTGCATAAACCAAAGGCTTGACCGATGACATGTTAGAAGCTTAAATACCTCCTCGATGAAAAAAAGGAGAAAATATCAATGATCATATACTATGTTAAAAGCAATGAAAATAAAAATATTCATTACCTTGATCCCTTCTCTCTTTAAAGCATCAAGAAAGCACAAATTGTTACAGTAATGTATTCCACGTGTTCATTCAAACCCAGAACTATTAAACTATGTTAAAGCTTGCCTAGGTGAAAAGACGTGTTTTGAAAACATGTGTAGCAAAGCTTAGAACGCACTCTGTCTTAACAATGCATAAGATACAAACACAAGGAAAGTATAGGCGTGCAGGGGCCGGGCGAATCACCCTCGAAGGCCTCACTTTAATTGAGATTTAGTACTGCTGACTCAGAAGGCGAGCCACAATGACCATCTTCCTTTATTCCAAGAGGTGTTTTGTTTTGTTTTTTAATGTATTAATAATTTACACTCCTCTACTTTTGTAGGTTGAGAGTTACTTGCTGACGACAAGACTCTGGAAAGGTTGTTCAACCATTGAGTACCATTGTTAATAGACAGCGTTTCTATTTAACCAACACATTGTTCAGATATCACCGTCTAAAGCGATGGATACTACAAACCGACCTGCCCCGCCTGCAGTAGCTGTGCTCTCGTGGACAAGCTGGAAGCTTCTGGCTGCGTTCATTCACATGGAATACTATGCATCCAAACAGTGGCGCAGGGCCAGGCGGCATTAATGGCTTATTTCCACTAAATCCTATCAGCAATCTGCTACCCGGGATCCCTAATTCACAGCCAGGGTGTGGTACTGGCCGCTGGGATGTTTATTGGCTTTGTACTTCTTTTAAAGGCGAGCCTAGTCTTTAGGCCAGAGAGGTTATTATACATACTGACGAAGGCCCAGGGGGCAGAAGGGGAAAAACAGAATGCAGGGTTGGGGGAGCTGTCCAACCTCCTCCAAGTTTCCCCTCCTACACCTCCAATCAGCATCCACCTCCCACCCCATGTTTCCCTCCCCGCTGTACCCCAGTTTTGCCCAGCCCAGACCGGGTTTGCACGGGGTGCGCGGTGCAGGCCTCCATCTGGGGCTGCGGGAAACGCACCCTTTCCAGATAGGAGCCCCTTACCAGGCAAGAGGACACGAGACGACGGCTGCGGGCCCGGGGGCGTCGGGAAGTGGGTCCGCCTGCCCCCGTGGTCCTAGGGCTTGAGCGGCGCTCTGGATGGCAGAGCTGGTCGCGCGGCTCCCAAACTTGCCCGGCTTGCACACCGCCGCCGCCGCCGCCGCCCCCTCAGCCCACCCGGCTGCTCGCGGGGCTCTCGGACGCAGGGTCTGGCTGGATCCGCCCCTGGGGCGGAGCAGGGACCGAGTGGGTGGAGGTGGGGGCGGGACAGGGAGGGAGGCGGGGCGAGGGACTCGGGGCGGGGCCGGGCACGGGGCGGGGCCGGGCACGGGGCGGGGCCGCGGGCGTAGGCGTGGGGCTGCCGCACGTGGGAGGGCGCTGGCAGCGCTGGCCGCCGCGTTCTCGCGCTCTGGTCTCCGCGCCGCTAGGCCCACTCTCGGCTCCCGGGCCCGTAGTCTCCAGCGCCCGCCTCCCGCACCCACCGGCCGGAGGACCAGGCGCCCGCCGCTGCCGGCTTCCCGGCGTGCCCATGATCACCCTGTGCCTTTCGGCTGTGCGAGGCCTCCACAGGTAACTGCGGTGGGCGGGTTAACCTTGACCGTGGGCAAGGTGGGGTCGCCCGTCCGCGACTGCCACGGGGCCTGGCGCAGCCCTTCTGCGCCCCTGCGATGCTCCTGGCACTGTCCCTCCACTCTGCCTGCTCGGTGGACCCCGTAGGGACACACCTGGCGCAGCGACCTGGGGCCGCCTTTCCCTCCAGGCTTCCCTCCGGAGGCCATCCTTTCCCCTTTGTTTGCGATTGCTTCAGCTGCAGTCTGTGAGAATGGTGGTTGACAGACCCAACCCAAAAGAAATAGCAAAAGGCAGGCCGACGTCCCCTGCAGAGCTGCAGCCCTGATATGGCAAGTGCCGCAGCTGTGGACTCGGGGATAAAGCATTTTCATAGGCACCTCGTGCACACGTTAGCGTCCCGGGCGATTAATATACAACCGGGGACCGTTTTCATGTTGATACTTACTTCCGTCCTTGCTTTCTAACTTGATTCTTATTTTCTTCCTTCCTATAAAACATTCGGCCCCTTAGCCTGGCAAATTGACTTGGCACCAGAATTGTTGCTTGGACACGGTTTGGAGCAGCCTAGGCTTGCTGCTTCGAATTGCTTCCCAGCTCTAACCACACCCCTCTGCTACAGACCAGTAGCAAAATGGTGAGAGAATTAAATTCTTCGCACGAATACGCAGGATTTCAGAAACAATGCCTCCACTTACCCGATTGCCAGATCTGCCCTACCCTGAAGTGAGACTTCAACAGGGGGAAAAAAAAAGAACTTTGTGCATTTTGTAGATGTGCGTAAAACTACTTTGAACCGTCCTCGTTTCTGCCTTTCATAGGCTTCTGTTGTGCTTTGCCGCTCGTCTGCGTGGATCTTTGTGTTTCTCAGTCCCCGCAGTTACTGTGCACCCAGTGGACAATAGTGGGTCTGAAGAGTTCTTCCGCTGACAGTGACCCCGTTATTTGGGCCGGGTTTGTTGTTGTTGTTTTCCTGGTCTCTTGGCAGGATGTGATACAGATGTCAGATGAAGCTGTACCTGAAAATGGAGGGCTTCACTTAGAAAAGCAAGAAGAGAGAATACAATTCCATTGTGAGGCAACTAGCACTCTTCTAACTTTTTAATATCGGAAAGCCTTTACCTTTCGAAGATTGCTGAAAACCTAGGAACATTGGTTTTGTTTTTGTCGATTATATCTGCCCATTGTTAACCATTGTAAAATGAAAACCGGGACAGTTTTAAAGGATTAATGGGTTTACCAAATAGTAATAAATACATTACATGCATATTTCCCCATTTATCTGTTAGTGGATGCTGAAGTCACAGTACAGTATAGCTTGATTCCCACATAAACCTCTGCATTTAATCTGCTCTGTTTTATTTTGATTTAAGAAGGAAATTCTTACATCATGTTCATGGAAAGAGAATATTTTAATAGCTTCCATCGGTAACCATGGGCAGATATCACACCAAAGTTGGACAGATGTCTGTTTTTAAAGGATGGGTTGTGGAGTGGGATTGGGAATGTGTAACCCTGTGTTCTTACTCTGCTACACTGAATTCCACTCGGTTTATCTTACATTCTGAATGGAGAGTGTACTCTGCCTAATTTTTTTAATATCAGTCACGGTTCATTTGGAACTTAGTGGCTGGGCTACGTAGTTCTTCTGATGTTGACATATTTGTTATATGCTATCAAATGATCTCAGCAGTGTTCACTGTAATGGATAGGATTCTCCAAAATTCTAGTTTTCATTTGAAAGGTGGAATTTTATTAGTGATACATATTCTCATATTTTTCTTTGAAGTGACATGACGTCTCCTTTTGTTACTTTTCTGGGGATGGATGGATGGATGGATGGATGGATGGATGGATGGATGGATGGATCACTCTGTAAAGCCTGTGCTGGCCATGAATTCATCATCCTCTTGTCTTAGCCTCCCAGTTGCTGAGATGACAAGCGTTGAGCCGCCTCACACACCTACTGTAATCTGTCGAATATTTAAGTCAGAGTAACCTCGAAGTTGTTTGAGTGCTAGCAATTGAACCCAGACCTCATGTTGACCAGGCAAGCAGAATAACAGCCAGAGTTATTGAAAAACCCAAAATAAATAAATATAGTATTATAATTAGGCATAGTAACGCATTTCTGTAATGTGAGCATTGGAGACTGGGGCAATAGGGTCAGGAGCTGAAGGTCAGCCCAGGGTACATTGCAAGTCCTGGTTGCAAAACATTTTAGTTAATTTAAGAAAAAAAAAATTTAAAGGTATTCCATGAAAAGAAAGGAAGAAAAAAAAAAAACATATTTCCCTTTCTTGGGGATCAAGATAGCTCTTAGTACCACTCAGACATCTCAACCAGCATGCTGTCTGCCATGATGATAATGGACTAAGCCTCTGAAACCATGAGGAAACCCTAATTAAATGCTTTCTAAGAGCTGCCTTGGTCATGGTGTCTCTTCAGAGCAATAAAACAGTGACTGAGACAGCTATCATTTACAGAAGTAGTTAAGGACTTGGGACTTAAGTGACTTAATTCAGAATCTGTTAATCCCAAAAGAGTTGATACTGAACAGCATCGGAGGCCTTCTGCGCTCGCTCCTTTTACTCTGGCGCTTGGGCATATCTGCACTAGGCTTTTATTTAACGAAGATATGTTTTCCTGTTGGCAGAGCAGATACATGTTGTTCGAAAGACAGCTTGGCAGGTAGTTCAGTTTCTTGGGAATAAACAGGCCAGGACCTTAAGATTAGATTGTAGATGTAGTTGCTGTTAACCAAGCATGCTCTTCTGTCCACTGTACCATATCTCCTGTCTTGTATATTTTTCTTTTTCTTTTATTATTTTTTTTGTGTGTGTGGGGGGGGAGTCCTCATTGTGTAAAGCAGTCTAGCCTTGGATTTGGCCTGTAATCCAAGATGGCCTGAAGCTTAGCATTTAATATTCTCCTATCTCTTCCTCTATTCCAGTGCTAGGATTACATCTATGCACTACTGTGCCAAGCTTAAATGTTCTTAATAAGTCCTTCTTTTTTCAAACCTTTATTTTCTTAGGATAAGAAATAGAATTTGTAAACCAAAGAACATTTATAACTCTCAGGCCTTCGGTCCTTCTCGTAGTCTTTCCTAAAAACTGTATAAGCTGAGAGATGGCTCAGAGGGTAGAGTGCTTGCCTCGCAAGCGTGAGGCGTTGGCTGAGCTTGGGCCACAGCAGCACTCCTGTAGAAGCTAAGACACTCAGGAAAGAGTGTCCTGCAGTGCCAGTGCTGAGGGTGCAGGGTGCAGCTGCAGGGGAGCAGGTGGGTCTCCAGAGCTCCAGTCTAGCCAGTCTAGCTGAAATGGCGGGCTTCAGGTTCACTGAGAGACCCTGCCTCAAAAACTAGGGTGAAGAGCAACAAGAAGGGTGTCCAACACTGGCTTCTGGCCTCTACATTCAAACATGCACGCGTTTATACTCCCCCCCAAAAAAATGCAAGTTATAACAAAGCATCAAAATGTATAAATGTGGTTTCTCAACACTTTTACCAACGCCTCAGCATTTAAGTCTTTTTTATTCTTACCAGTGTGGAAAGTGGAAACTTCTTGTTATAATTTACATTTCCTTATTTTTTTTGTGATTTATTAGGTGAATATAATTTCTTGACAAACTCAGGACTGTGATAAAGAAATAGACAAGGTAATTTGTTTTCTGGTGTAAGAAGATCTTTTGAAAAAGTCTTAGAAAGCGAAAAGCAGTTACTCATAAGTTCAATGATTTTTTTCCATGTCTAATTGTAATTAAATAAAATTGAGATCGCACCCCTAAGTCTTAACACATAATAACCTCCACAAATTTCAGACAACAGTGCCAGGGGAAAAAATTGTTCAATAAAGAAAGGATTTGAAGGAACAAATATCAAGAAGCTAAACTAAGATTATTTGTCAAAAATATAGATAAAAAGAAGTTACAGATGGGGGTTTTGTTGTGATATCTTCTCACTGTTGACTTTGGTCACAAAATCCTGTCACTTTTTCAAACTTAAATATAATCTTTTGGTTGAGACAAAGTGTAGAACTTCTGTGAGAAAAAAAACCCACCTGTATTAACGTTGTGAAGAGCCAGGGAAATGACTGTTTATCGCGTGAAGATTTACATGCCAACGTGTGTGTTGCAAATGGCATGTCTAGACTTTGGGAGTCTGAATCCAGCACTCCTGAGTTTGTATGCTGGCTGTCTCTATGCCTGACCAACACTGACATCTTAGGCTAAAAGGTTTTGTTTCCTCATGGGTAAACTGACAGCTGACTAGATGCTGTCTTCATGTACCAAACATTTAAGGGTGTATTAGGTCCCATAATGTCCTATAACAGAGACACAGCAGTGAACAGGGCAGACAGAAATCTTATGTTGGGGGAATTTAGCTTCTATAAAGAGAAAAACAAAGAGAATTGTTGCACATTAGAAAAACCACATTTTGCTATTTTTAGAGCAGGAAAAGGGATATTCAGTATTGACGGGATTGAAATTGTACATAATGACCTGGTGAGGGCCAGACAGAAGGTGACATTTGAGCAGTGGTCCAAGAGAAACGGGAAATCCCTGGAGCTGAGCATTCTGAGCAGTGGAAAGTGAAAAGGCAAAAACTGTTTCTGGTGAGCTGGAGAAAGCGTCAGGTTGTAAGCAGGAGATATGACGAGGAAAAGTATGTTCATGTTTTAGACTCAGAGATGATAAATATAAGGTGTTTTGGAAGTTACCGGGCTAGATCCATTCCTGTTGCCACACTGGTGCTTTGTAACTAAGTTTCCAGGAGCTACAGTAAGTGTTGGTATTGTGAACTAATCTCTGCAGTAAGGTTAGGCAGCTTTTTGGTGTTGACTTGTTTGCACACCTCCCGATGGCTGTGTGCCCAGTCGGCAGCTCAGCAGCTCTGCTTACCCTTACATGCTCAGGGCGGTAACATGCAAGGCTTGTGAGTTAATGGGGAAGGGAAACGCCACAGTTCTGTCACGTTCTGCTAGCTAAAACAAGTCCCA